AGAGAGAGAGAGAGAGAAAAGAAAAGACAAAACAAGGAAATACAACTAACTCAGTTCTAAAGTTTGAGATACCCACATATTGTTAAAGGTAAATCCAATTAATTGACTTAAAACCCAAAGAGGTAGTTTAGAAACAAAGTTAGCAAAGTCTGAAAATTCTGAGACTAAATTATTAGGTGAGAAACATTCAGCAAAAAACAGAAGATTTGTGGAAACAAGTTCTGATGATAGGTCCATGAGTGATGAAGTAGAATGAATCAAGACAGGGAAGGAAGTTTGTGAGCTGCATCAACAAAGTTTGCAGAAATTAGGGTGACTTTTCAGCCAGGGTCAGAGAGGTCCTAAGAGACCCCCCTGAACAAAAGCATTTATGCCACCTCATCAGAGATGCCTTCTAGGACATGCCCATATAAAAGCACACTTCCCTCCCACATACACACTCCACTATTCTCTATTCATGTTATATTTTTCTCTATTGGCACTTAATGACCACTTGACATATATATTTGTTTATTTTGCACCCCTCCAAAAAATAATTGAGAATTGAAGCTCTACGAGGAGCTTTCTTTCGTTTGCTGATACACCGCCACTGTGTACCACACAGTAGGTATCTGGTAAATACTTACTGATGAATGAATGAATGAAGGAAGGAATGAATGAAAGAAAGAAAGAGAGAAAGAACAAACAAATGACATAGACACTAGCCTTCAAGTAGTTTAATCTAATAGATATAGGAAAAAAGCTACTTTTGCAGCTATTTATAAACTGTAATTCACTGAAATGTGGAAACTCAAAACAATTTTATAGTATGCAGATTGTATACTGCTATAGTGAATTTTATTTTAACATTTTGCATTTTAAAGAGATGTCTATCTCTCTTTCTCTTTCACTGATAACCATAGTTTTTAACTTCAATTCCTACTCATTATTCACACTCAAAGAAAAGTTTTAAGCAATCATAAATTTCATGACACCTCCAAATTGTAAATTATTTTCTATTAGGCTTTTAAGATTTTGCAGGTATGGGTGGTTTTAGAATTGATAAAGCTGGCTGCAAATGTCATGATTTCATTGCAGTCTTTTTGGCAATAAATGTAGCAAACAGCCCACATTGGAATGTAGCAGCTAGAGACAGGTGGAATTGCTATTTTCAGTCATAAACTATGGACTCACCATAAGGCACAGCTGCAAGTAAAATTTATGACCACAGGCCACCGAATGTTTCTCCTGTTCACTAGACCAGGAGCTCCTGTGGAAACAGGACCTTGGCTTGTCTATCTTCTAGCTGAGCCCAGTGTCTGGAACAGAGGGCTGCACTGTGAGCACAAACAGTGTGCCAAGAACAATGCCCATGAGTCAGGATTATCCATTACAACTGTTGGCCACTTGCTTGATCTCAAAAGATAATGAGAGTGCTCACAAATAATACAATCTGTTAAAAATCAATCTGGATAATGATAGCATCATACCATTACATTCGGAAAACTTGTCAAACAAGAGGAGGTATAATTTAGGTACAAATGTTATCCTTTTTTTTTAATCCTAAAAATAACTGTATGTCAGGACTGCATGTTGTATAAACTGCATTAATACAATTTTTAAAAATGTGAAGACATTGTAATTGTTTTATACTGCAGCAACAAACAATGGGATTGCCTACACATTTACTTCTGAGTGGGTTTCTTATTTGTTTCCTTCACCTCAGCATAAATAAAACTAGGATGCTCCCACCCCCAAAGTTAGAAAATAAATCTTTATATGAATAATCTCTGAACACGCTGTAGAAGAATGAATGAGAGTCTTCTCTAAAGCACATGATGCTAAGGTAAAAGAATAATTTAATAGAAAGCTACTGTATCTTTACTATCACTGGCATTATAATCATAGAATTTAAGATAATTTATTTAATTTTTAAATATTTTAAATATAATTCAAGGGTCAATGTTTTCTGTATCTCCTTTGGTGCTGTTTCTATCAGGGGAAAATAGACAAAAAAGGAAAAGCTTCACTAGAGTTGGAGTTCAGAGGTCTGAAGTGTGACCTTAAATCAGTTATTCTGTCCAAAAATGAAAATCTGGACAATGAAATGACTTATTCCAGTCCCCAGGCTCATCATCTACTGCTAAGCATTGTGAGTTCTTATTTCCCTGTCTTCTCACTTATGAAGTCTGTGGTCTTAAATTGTGCCACTACTCCAGGCCTTAGTCACTGAAATAAATGCATATGATAACTTTACCTTTCTCATAGTTATTGCTATGAGAAGTAAAGTAATCCAGGCAAAGAAAGCCTCCAGTACATTGCCAGGAAAATAAAAAGTTTACCACAAATATAACTATGCATAGTGATTAAGATCATATAACCAGAAGTCAGATGCCTTAAAAGTATCTAATGACCCCCTTAACTAGTTTTGGGGAAAGGCAGTGTTTTTTAAGAAGTCTATTAAAAATGCCTGCAATACAAAAAGAAAAACGTATGTTTAAAAATAAAAATTAGATTTGGGGGAATATAAATTAGAAGAAATTTTAGAAAAAAAATGAAAAAGGAAGAAACAAAGGCCCTAAGGTCCTATATAGTTATTAATATTGAGAAAATCTTATCTATGATCCCTTATGGCTGTAAATTGTATTCGATTACATAAAATGTTTAAAGGACCTTAAGGATTGTTAAGCCCTGCTAGTCTGGAGGTGAAGGAACTGGGGCCTCTAAGAGTAAACTAGCTTATACATGTCACAGAACTAGTTAATATGCAGAAGCCAAGTTGGAACCCAGGTGTCTTGCTTCTCTGTCAAGCATGCTTTCATTCCCACCATGCTGTGCCTCATTTCTAGGACTGGTAGCAATTCCCTTTCCTTCTGGCAAACTCTCTGCTTGCACAACATGCAGCTCTAACCTCTCTTGCCTGCTCATGACAACACAACCCTCACAGTTATTCTGGTCCGAGAACCCCAAAGCAGATGATGATTAAATTGCTTGCTGCATTATTTCAATCACTCTTACCTGGCTGGAGAGTAACGTCAAACAGGGTGAAAAAAAAGTGGGGCATCTGTCAGAATCCCAGGGAGTGTCCACATGAACAGTGTATCCCACCAATACCTGCAGCCACTCTAGGCAAGTCACAGATATCGAGACTGCTCACTAGGATTTGACACTTCCATGCAGCAGTCCTCAGAGGCTCCCCAGTCACATTTAAGGGGGTCAAAGAAGGTACAACCCCATACATATGGCCACAGCTGGCCGTACCTCCATCACTCATGTTCTTCTGGCAAAGCCTTTATTCAAAGCACAGGTTTTCTTTATATTACAATTTGCATGGACCTCCTCAAATTTATTCAACTACTGTCCAGAGCTGTGCTACCCATTGGGTAGCCACTAGCTTTAGCACATAAAATGTGGCTACTCCAAGTTGAGATGTACCCTAAGTATAAAATACACACTGAATTTAGAACACCTAGTATGAAAAAAGGAACATGATTATATAATTGTTTGTATTGATTAGATTTTGGAATAATATTTTGCATATATTGGGTTAAATGAAATACATTAAAAATTAATTCATCCTGTTTCTTTTTACTTTTTAAAAGCACAGCTGCTAGAAAATTTAAAATTACATATTTGGCATGCATTTTCTGACACACATTATATCCATTGAACAGTGCTGGTTTAGAGGTTAAATGAATATATCAAAAATATTTTAACCCATCCTCATAAAACTATATATAGAAACCATGGTGTAAGTTTTAAAAGGTCTTTGAAAAGCTGAAGTTGGTACCATAAGGCTGATACACAACATCTGTTACACAGAACTTACAGGCAGGTCTTTTCATATTTTCATAGCCCAAGTACTTTTTTTTTTAACTGTCAACCATAACAGATATGGTTACATTATTTCCTACCCCACAGGAAGAGAAAAAGACGAAATGAACTATTAACATTGAAAAAATACATCAGAAAGAAAAAATAATTGGGAAGAAATCTACTAAAAGTTGATGAATGGCCCAAAGGAAACATTTAAAAGCATTTTAACGTAAAGGCATTTATTACAGAATTTTATCTTTACTTGTGAATATACCTCAAAAGATCTAAGAGCACATATTAGTATTTGTTTGACTAAACCATCAAGAAAATACTTGAGTACATCCAGTAAATTCTGTTTGAGAAAGTAAAGAAACACACCTAACATATTTGAAAGGTTTGCAATAAAAAATCTAAGCTCTTTTTAAAAAAATTCAAGTACTTGAAGAGCAGAGCCTTTGTATGTTGTAATGACAGGGCCATTACAGGCTCTGTGTCCTTGGCCAAGAGCTTAAACTCTCAGACCTGTTCTGCAGCAACCAAGGAAATATTTTGAGGATTCACTGATGAGATGTATATTAACAGGTGGTACTTCATAGGTGGGCAACATATGTTAGCTTCTCTCTCTAAAATAACATGTAATCTGAGAGTGTTAGGAAGCCAAGGCATGCTGACTTGTTCCTTGTTAAACTTATTCCTGTTATGCTCAAAACTTAGTTCTGAAGTCAAACTTGCCATTTTGAGTTCTGATGGGTCACAAAAGGTGTTAGATTTTTACTATGTTATTGCAGTCATTTCTAGAATCCCCCACCCATTTATTTCTGGTGATTCTAAATATACATAAAATGGTTGGCAAAATAAAATCATGGTACACTCTTTGATTTATTCAATACATATATCATATATTTGCTAGCTTCCGAACACAAAGCCAGGAGTATTAGGAAGACTTGCTGTCATGGAGTACATGGAGCAGGAGCGTGGAGGCATAACTAATTGCCTACCTAACACCCTTTCTGCCCATTCTTCACTAACAGCACCTCAATTTTGTTTAAATGAGAATTGTACCCAGATTCTCTTCT